AACTGGTAACTCTAATGATTGCGGCAATGGTTGGCAGGCTTGTTGGGTTGACAATGACCACTGAGTAGTGAATTTGAACCTCACTGGGTGCCTCATACTTGTAGCCTTGTGCCAAACTAAGTTAAGCTTAGTAAGCAGCAACTTGTACTTCCAATCATTTTTTCAGATACATAGAGATTAAACATTCCATTGTTTCAGTTTTTTTTAATAATAATATGAAAAATTCTTAGCCTAAGAAGGAATTTAAAAAAAGTGATATTCTGTCATTTAATCAAATTTTAGGAAGTGGGTTATACTAAGAACTTTTCAGTGACTTCTTATACCTGTAGATGAATTAAAACAATTTGGGCATTAAACCAAAATATATATATATATATATATATATATATATATATATATATATATATATATATATATACACACACCACAATTTATCTTTAGTAATGAGATAACAACCATAAACAGAATATAAATAATCCTATAATTGTTGCATTACTTCTTTTCAGTGACAGCAATCTGCTATAGACAAAGAATAACACTAAGGCTTTGAACATGTTTTTCATTTTCACTGAGAATTTGACTTCTCCCAATTTGTTCCTTTAAAAACTTACTGCAGTGTTTATTCATTAAGTTTTCCTCCTCTTGCCCCAAGTAGAATTTTTGTTTTGAATATTGTGGTGAATACACATCAGTACAGATACAAAAAAGGGGCCCCAGATTGTGTGAATTACATCCAGGTTTTCCCTGTTAGTAGCAGAACAGCTTGGCATGTTCAGATATGGGCTTCTCTGCAATTTGCCTAGATTTGGGTTTCTGTCAACTGTATACTGTCAATAAAAGCAATGGGTAAACCAGCAGTCAACAGTAGGCATTTGGCAAGACTCAGTGTCTTGTGAAGTAAGTCCCTTGTACAGTTTCTTCCTAAAGTTGTATGCCACAATTTCTGAGACAGTGTTGTTTTTATTTTCTTCCATCTCTTTCCCTTTTCTGCCTGTTACTTCATAGTTCTGGGAAAAGCAATTGGTTAGGTGTTTCCCCTAACATCAACACACCCTTGCCATATTTTACAATAAATAGCCCATGAAAGGTTTCATATAAACTTCCAACTTTAAACTGATACGTCATTCATAAAAGCCTTCATTGGAAAAACAACTTTTATCCCATTGTTAGTTGCTATACAGTCTAATATTCTATTACTTATATAAAAAAAATTAAATGAAGTGGGAATGGTGATCTAACCAATACTAAATCTGAATTTGAAAATCTAATAATACACAATAGATATACAAGTATCATACACATAAATACATATTTATATAAAGAAGAGACTAGGATTTATAAAATACATTAATGGAAAATAAAACTGCAACACCCAGAATATGATTTCATTATTTGTACAAGTAATATAACTGGATTACAGTAAACAATCACATATATAAATCAATATATGTAAAGGTTCCAAAATAAAAGGTATATTAACAGGGCTCAAGCCTCATATTAACATATTGTATATTCTCTTTGACCATTAATACTGGCATATACTCTCACATGCAAATACTATTCTACTATACATTATTCTATGCCTCTTGCATTTGTTGACACATATAGTCATTGGTGTATTGCTGCAGGTGGGCTAACTGAATGAGTTAGGCATTGTTCTATTCTTGTTCAATGGACAACAAGTCTAGTGAAGTTTATCGAATATCTACATGCACTTTTTAATAGAAATTCTAATAATGAATATTAATACATAAAGAATGATCAGGAAGAAAATTAAAAAAGTCAATTTGTCAGAAATATATATTTGAATGGATGAACAGACAAAAAATATTTTAACTGATACTGTGACATGTAAAATTTAAGATTAAAAAATCTCAAAGCTAACTTATAAAAAAATGTAGATAAACATGACAATGGAATCAGTCACTTAGAGAAAGAAAAGCAAAATGTAAGAACATAATCCATGATCACATACAATAGGGGTGAGAAAAACGAGGACAAGTTGACTAATAAATATACAGCCAAAACAACACTTTGATATCAGGCATCTTATAATGCTCGTAAGAAGTTGGATCAAATCCTATCAAAAAATTTTATTTCTCAGCCATCTAGAAAAACAACTCTATATCCTATTTATTGCATTGTAAATGATTTATGCTCTACATATGTGAATCTGCTAATGTGGACAGATAGAAAAGAATACAGGCAGCTGAAAGCAATTGTTTCAAAGAGGTTGATGTGCAAGATGAAAATGCACATGCCAATGCAAATATTTTACATCTAGTAACCTGTTGGGGGAAAATCTTAAGCTGTAACATTTAAAGTCCTAAGTAACATACATACCTAGGAGAAGGAAATAAAAGAAAGAATCTTTCCTTTTAATTAGGTAACTCCATGAAATTGCTAAAAAAATAGCATAGCTTGATGAAAAAGATGCCAAAAAACAAAATTTTATCGTCTAAATGATTATGTTATTATGAAGAGGAAAGACCAAAGTTTTTTTTCAATTATTTTTAAAAATTTTTCCTTCTTTTTAGAACATTCTAAATTTTGATTAAAAATACCTTGTTTCTCTTTGTATCACTGGAACTAGTAAAATAACATAGACAATTTTAGCACATTTTTTTGGTATGACATACATTAATTTGGAAGATCTTGCAAAAATAAAAATAATTGTCGGATGTTAATGAAACTTTCAGAAACTATTCATAGATGATGGAAATTATTATAAATAAGTTTTTTTTTATTAAATTCATGGCAGAAATATTTTTTTTATATTTATTACCTCCCCCCATAACTAATTTTATGAAAATTCTAGAAATTTGATCGAATACAGTTTAGTGATTACAATAGTTAAAAGCACAAGGCTTTGAGGAATGCAAATCATGTTTTTTTTTTGTTTTTAATTAGATCTCCCCCCCCCACCTGAAAATCAGCTCTGAATTGTAACATACAGAACTCAATAAAACAAAGATATTATTTAATTTCAAATGCTTTTATTTGCTTTTAGTTGTTTTTATGAATATGGACAATATTTTCTGAAAGCAAAAAAAATTTTCAATGAAAAATGAATTTTTAATACAATTATTTGTTATTTCTGAATTATAATAGATTTTTACATTTAAGTTGTTAAAATATTATAAAATTAGTTAAAAGCCGTATTGGGTTTCCTAAGTGTCCTTATGAGATAGATCATTTTTTAGTGTGTTGTAAATTATATCATTTTGACTAATCAGAAGATCCGCAGTAATTAAGAAATGTAATTTTGTGTTTATAATCAGGCTGTAATTATAAAGTATGGAAGACCAACCAGAATACAATTAAGTTGCGTTATTTGAGTTAAGCATTGTTCTCCGCTGTTAAGGTCTTTACTTTTGCGAAACACATGTGGAGAAGTTAATTTGATTTTTCAATTTCAACTGAGAAGGGTACCTATAAGTATCAGTATCATCTTATGAAATTTATATGATCTTCTTTTTATATTAATCTCAGTTATGACATTTTTCCATAAATGAAATATCAAAATTAATAATAAAAAGAATGGAAATACAAATAACACGGTAAAATGTAATAAATGTACATAAAATTATAGTATTTTATGTACACTTCTGATAAAATTTCATAAGAAAGGTACCTATAAATTAATTAGATACCTTTCTTATGAAATATGAAATTTAATCTCACTCTTAACAGTCTTATTTTAATTTCTTTATAATATATTTTCCATAAAGCATCGTAAACGTAAAGGTGAAAGCTAAGTACAAAAAAAAATAATTAGAGCACTGAAAGTTTTCATTAAAAATAACGAGGTAAATAATTTGTTCACTTAAATGTAAATTATTTCACTTTTCTCCTTCTGTAGAAAAAAAATTATCCTTACGGAATCTGTTAATATGTCATTCATCATCTGTCAAGTGACGCGAAAGTTTATGACCTGCTTTGTTTTATTTTCAAATTACATCTTTTCGGCGCAGAAGCTAAGTTAAGTTTATCCAAAATATTTTAAATAAACATTATAATTTCTGATTTTCTTAAAATAAGTTTTGAAAAATGATAATTGATATTTAAAAGAATTTCAAAGTGAGATTTCCATTTTTTTATAAAATGGAAAAAATGGTCAATTTTGCTGACTCAAAAAAAAAAAAAAAAAAAAAAAAAAAAAAAGATTTTTAATGAAAATTTTGGACGTGCTAGGAACGATTAAAAAATGTAAAAAAATACCCCCAAAATACTTTGATCTTTCCTCTTAATAATAACATAAACATTTAGACAATAAAATTTTTTTTTCGTCAAGTTTGACGTCTTTTTTATCATGCTATACTCTTTTTTTTAGCAATCTCGTGAAGGTACCTACTTTTAATCATATTAATGCTCTGAAATACAAATTGAATTGGAATTGTTGACTCAGTTCTATTTTGTCTACATCATTGAATCATAGAAAAATTCCAGTCTATGTTAAGGTATATTCTTTAATTCTCAACCACTGATTAAGTTAGATCAGTGGTTCCTAAACAGCGTGGCATGCCTCATAGTTACAGCGAAAGGGGATGACAGGTGAAGCAGAATGATTGAAAGACAATCAAAGATTTAGAAAGTTTCAAAAAATTCATATGCCAAAAATAAATGATTTCAAAATTTGAAATATTATTATGGATTACTTGTAATTGCATGCATGAGTCCCGATATAAATAATTATTGACCAATTTTATCATTGATATTTTAGCATTATATCAAGTATAAGATATTAACTAGGATCGGCAAATTGGAGGAGAGAGTTATTAATGATAATGTTCTGACTTCGAATCCGCAGTTATCTCCCTTTAACTCTTTTTTTATTTTTCAATGTACTTTTTATCACAAAATTTTCAGTCTGAAAATGCAGCCCAGAGAAAAAAAAACCACTAAGCTGGATACATATTTTATCTAATTTCAGAAAAGACAGAGTTTAAGAAAGTGTTTTTAAAACTTTCTTTGTTCGTAATGATGCAGTTGAAACTTACTTGCAGTTGTCCCAATTCAACAAAATCATAATGAAAGTGAGCACATTCTTCTAGCTTTGGAAACCGTGTTGCTCCATCTGTCAGACTGTAACAAGAAAGAAAAAAGATTAAATTGTTTACATTGTGGACAACTTGTATCAAATTCATTTAGGATGTTCTAGATAAAATTTCAAGAAACAAGTATTTTGTTGATATTTTTCTTCTTCATATCATCCTTGGAATATGTTTTGAAAATGATGTGAAAAATACTGAAATAAATCAATCATAATAGTTGCTTCTTTTTATTTTTTGGTTTTGTTTTAAAATTTTTGAAATCATGAAATGCAAATTGAAACAATTTTATTCCAAACAATGATGTTCTTCTATATAATGAATGCAAACAGCAGTGTGTCATTGTGTCAGACATTTTTTTAACTTTAAGCCCAACATATCATACCATTTTAGAATCAGGCCAACTGTGAGCAAATTTAAAATATTCCAGGCCAGACCCGTAATCCTGAAATTTTGGATTCCCAAGTTTTCATTTGCTGCGATTGTTTTCAGTGATTTCTTTTGCAACAATTTTTTTTTGTGCAATAACAATTTTTATAACTTGGAAATAAATTTGGGAATAATTAAAATTGATTGCGAAATTCAGCAAAAGTCAACCATGAAATAAAAATAATATGAAATCAATAGCAAATAGGTAAGAATATAACTTATAAGTGATCAAAATATATGTATTGAGAGAAATCAGATGATGCAATCATTTCAGAGCAAGAAAGAAACAATGATGATGGACTGACAAATCATTCACAGAAGTGTATAAAACCCCTAGTCAGAGACTTCAAGTAGCCATTCCAAGTAGTCTCATTTGCATATCACAATGATGCAACATTCATCAGCCTTTTGCTAAATTCTGATAAAGACAGCCTCCCTTCAATGTATGTCTTGGTTGCATACTAGTCTGTGAATGATCTTCCATTGTCAGCCCATTTATGATCATATGACATGGCATACCATTTATACCATTGACACTTTCTAATGTGCCTGTTTCTTCAGTATCTGTCTATATTTCTGGGATGAGGTATTATGTACACTATTTACATTATTCGGACTATTTATTACAACATTTCAGGTTGTTGGAATGTAGAACTGAACCCTTTACTGACTGTTCTAATTCCACGTACAATGTTTAATGGATGTCAGTTATCAGTTATCTACTGCCTTAACCGGGTATTGAACTCACACTGTTTGGGTTCTGTCACTGGATCTAACCAACACCTTTATCCACTGTGACATCTGTGTATGAATTTCTGGGTATTATAAACCCAATGTCTTCAGCAACCATTTTTACCAGTGCTCATATTGCAATTTTTGTTGTTATTATTACATATTTTTACAAGAGCTCATATTGCAATTTTTGTTGTTATTAATACATGTTTTTCCCAGAGCTCATATTGCAATTTTTGTTATTATCACTTTTCTCTGACACTCCTTATTACTGGTTCCTATATTGTATTCATTTCTATGCTTGATTGGCTCAGGAGATTTTTGTGGCCTATCATAAGACCCCCCTCCATAGAGGAAAACATGATTAAAGACTGTGTGTATGCTATCCCGTGCAGCCGTCCACTTAAAGTAAGGCTTCCAGAACATCAGAAAGCTGTAATATGTGAGGAAGTGGAAAAATCAGGTGTGACTGACCACATATGGAGAGAAAAGGGAGATCACTGCCCTCTGTGGGATCAGGTTGAGATCATAGACAAAGAACACCATTGGAAATTTTATAAACTTAAGGAATCAGCATATATGCTAGGCCACAAAAATCTCCTGGACTCTTTCATATCACTGCAATTAATGCATTCTGAAAAAATTTCACCAGTTTCACTAGCTTCACATCCAGCAGTGGCCCCCCAAAAAATCCGTACCTTAATCCCCCACCCCCTTTCACCCATTCTTTGTCTTTTAGTTTCTTGGTTCTAACTCTTGCTGCAAAGCCAGGCCTCCACAAAGTCAGGGTCTTCAAGGGATAATGTATATCCTCTCAGTGACAACATTATAAAATGTGATTTCCTTTGTATTTTCTCAGCCCAGCAGTAGTTGCTTATATCATATATAATATTCAGCAGCAGCATCCATCAGTGAGCAAGTGAAGTATAAGGCTTCAAGTTTTCCATTCAGAATTGTACCACATGAATTTGATGACAGAGTAATTGCAAGTTCAATCCCTGCTCTGGGCAATGGAAACAGGGTGAGCAAAATAATTGAGCAGTACTAAACTAGACAAGATAGCCCTTGTGACACTATTTACCTATGGTAATTGATTAACTAATTAGGCATAAAAATTAAACAAGAAAATAATGAGAACAGAAAAGAAGATATCTCAAAATTTTATTTTTACTTTAAAAAAAAAGTTACTTTTCTCAAGTTGATTTGCATCAATGATAAATTCACAGAAGGTCAATGTAGCAAGCTTTTGACAATTGATTACTGATGATTGTAAAAGTACTGGTTAAGAAAACACAAAATAGCCAGAAAATGTCAAAGATATCATTTGAAATCGCAAAGATTTTAGGAGTTGGCCAAGCGACAGGGCCATGTGTTATTTGTAAGAAGAAAAAGGGAATTTCATAAACATAGTTGATAATTCTGAACTCAGAAATCCTGAATAAACAGGGATGTCAAATAGTTAAATAATGAAGCAAGCTTAGCCACACCCACACGACCGAGACACCATTGGCTGGGTGGTAGCAATGGTGATAGGTGGAGGTAAATTGGTAAGAAAGACAGGGAAATTATTAATGCCCACTGCAAGGATTTGGTATGAGGTACCAATATGAGAAGGAGGGAGTTTAGGAGGATGGCTATCCTGCAACCTCTCCTCACAGATGAAGAGATCCCCCTCCCAAATGGAAAGTAATTATTTTTCCAAAAATGGGAAGTAATTAATTTTCCTAGCCAGACAACAAAGGGACCCTTGTAGGAATCACGGAATTACCGAAAACCCCAGGCTGTGTCTTACCCCGCACCGGTTTTTGGTCGAAAGTCAATATAAGCAAACACCCTCGAGCAGTTTGCCAACTGAGTTTTTCAGTTCGCTAACAGGAACCAGAGAGCTGCCTCACAGAAGCTGGCTGAGAGATTCCACAAATTCCGTCCTCCGACCTTGTCTTTCTACAAAACAGCAAGTTATACTGATGAACCTAAAAACTAAACCAGTTGACTTAGAAGATCAGAACTTGCCTAGAAGTGTCACCCTCAGAAGAAACACGTTGGGAAAAACACATACTCCTGTATAAAACAGACTGATAAAAGTTGATTTGCTTTATTTCAACATAACCAAACTGGTTTTTATTTATTTCTTTTTACGCTTGTGCGACATCACCTCCAGTTTACACTCATCTTGCACTATGGCCCGATGCCTGATTGATCTCATCTACCTAAGATCAAATCACAACATGGGTAGGTTAGACTTGAGATCAAAGTAGTCACTTCGGTAACCAGTCATTGGAAGTGAGCTGAGAACAACGGAGCTGGTTGCATCAAGTGTGAAGCCATTAGAATAGACCGACCATCCCATTTGGTACCCTGACCAAAAGATCCTGCCGAGTAGTGACGACTGCCAATCAACCGGGTCACATGTTGGTGGCAGCAACTAAGAGTCAACCCCAAAGCGCTGGTAGGAGAAGTGACTAGGAGTTGACCCCCGGGATGACAATACTGTGTCACACCTAGACATGGTCAGCAGAATGAGAACAATATACCCCTGTAGATTATATAAAGAATTCAGTTTGAATTCCCTGAAGGTTAATTGGATCAACAAACATCTGATGAAGGCCAAATATCATGATAACAACAACGAGGAAAATAGTTCACATATAAATAATAATTCCCCATCCCAGAAATTCAAACAGAAATTAGAAATATGCTACTTTTAAGCTGAAACAAGTTTTTTATATGCACATTTCTAAAAAGTAATAGAAGAGTATACAGATAATTTTCAAATGCTTTACACAATTATTAAAAAAGATTTAAATATATGTTTAATGATAGCACAATTATTTACTGAAACACAACTTTATATGCTTGCTTTTAAACAATAGTAATTTTATATACATACATTTATCTGTGTGAGTGCATCTCTATTTTTCCCTATTAAAAACATTGTATTTTTAAAAAGAATTATGCTTGATAATCTTGTTGTTTCATGTAATGTTCTCACAAGTACGCAGTCAAGGAAAGATAACTCCACTCCCGAGTGTATAAATCTTCCCACTTACATACAATCTAATTTGCATATCATATCTCCCGGAAACTTAGAGGCTTTAGGCCCTTAGTAGATCTGTTACTTCTATGAACCACTCCAGGAGGTGTACTGCTTGTCTCATGGTGATTGCCTAGATTCCACTTTATGGGGGAACTTGGTCTTACCGGATTTACTTCATTTGAATTTTCCTCATAATCCTTATCATTAGACACACTCACTCTCTCCTCCCCTTCACTCTTCAATTCTTGCTTATAATCCTAATCTCTCTCTTCTGCACCAGGCTCTTTGTCCATTTCAATGTCTTCCGGCTCTCTTTGCAATCTAAACTGGTCTTCATCAGCTAACACACCTTGTCCATTTTTTTAACATTGCTGTATTAAATCCTTTTTGCACTACAAATTGTCCTTTCTCAGGATTCGAATCCTTATTCCTTTTGTACCATACATTCTCATTTGTTGCAACAAACACGATTATTGAGGCTCTAATTTGCCTTCCCATCAATGCTGAGGGGCTTTTGTCCTGCCTGCAAGTAGGAGTGGTCCTGTAATTTAAAAGCAATCTTGGTAGATAACTTTCTAGGCTGCAATTCCCTGGAGAGAATGCTTTCAATCCAATTTTTATCATCTGGACCATCCTCTCTGCAATTTCATTTGACTGAAGATGGTATGGGGGTGTTTTGTATGGCCTACATCCAATTTGTATTAACCATGTACACAAGCTTTCTTCAGCAAACTTTGGTGCATTATCCAACACTAATGTCTTAGGTACCTCATTCCTCAAAAATACTACTCTTAATACCTGTTGTACAGTACTTGTTTTCTGTCCAAAATATGCAT